CCCGCCCGCACCGCCCGCCGCCCTCCTCACCACTGAAGCGTCGTAACGAACGCGAGCCGCGCCCCCGCCGGCCTGTTGTACCCCCCACACGACTGCCACACCCACACCTTCGAGTGAGAGGATACATGTAGAGGACTGACTGTTCATACAACGAGGGTTGTGCCCAGCGACCTCATTGTGATATATCGAGTGAGTTGAGTACCGGAGAGAGACAGGATCGTAGACTTTGAGCGGTGATGGCTGTCGATAGAAAAGTATCGATAGCGTTTGAGCAATTAATTAAGAGTACTTGGTGAAACAGCGACTAATTCAATTAATTTATAGTCGTTATTTGATTCAATAGTTGACTTACATTCGGCTCTTAAGGAGAACTAAGTCATAGATTATAAATAGTGATTGAATAATACGGAAGCAACGAATCGAAGTGGAATACAGTATGATCGAGCCATTATCTAAATAAGATTGCGATTATCGATGTTTTTAGTTTTACGGTTAATCGATGTGTCCCATCTCTAGTCCTGCCATTCCAGAGGATATCGAGATGAAGAGATCGCGGCAGCTGTGAGATAACTTGTCTCAGTTGAACTTAAAGACACTTTAGTGCCAAGTGAAATGTTTCAATGTATCGAGTTTTGCGGATCTCTTCGGGGTTTATTTAGTTAGCTATTTGAGACATGACAAATAATTTTACTATGATTGGCTGACTCAGGCTCCTAAAGTTCACGATAACAATGCAAAAAAAAATCTTCTCCTTTTTTTCTTCAAAGATTTACTTTCTTTACTATCTAAATGTGATACCCTCTTGGTATACTTAATTTTATGACACTCACTCTAATAACCGGTAAACTATCAATATTTTTGTCAAATTTGATTTATCGAGAATTTCAACAAACATTTCAAAACTTATCAAATAAAGTTTATGTAAAATTTGAAAAATATTGATCGTTGTCGTTCGCGTAAAAACTCTAAAATAAGTAAATTAACGCACGATTTCTGAAAGAGATCAAACAATAATAATAGACTATAAAAAAATATACGGGCTGGCAACCCTAGGTAATTATGTAGTAATTAACCATAAACAAAATTACTTACTTTTCAGAAATGGGGCGTTAAAGTGCAATTCCACTGTCGCAATTGTATTTAAAAATATCTCTATGATATAGATGAGTTTATCAGCAGTGGAAACGTTAAGTTTGTTTTGTTATCGTGAACACGTATTGTGAGTCTGAAGCCGCGTCCTGACGGTAGAAGCTTAGCGCGTCGCTCTATCCGATGTTTGTGATACTTTGAATAATAACTATTATTAACGATTCTAAATTATTTAATTTTTCACATTTTGTAGGAGAAAGTAATAAGCTATAATATTTTCTGTGTATCGTATATTATAAAACTGATGAATAAATTGTGATTATAAAATATTTTGTTTCATTTATAAAGAATTACATAAAACAAAAACGACAAGATAACGCCCGTAACTAAAAGGAGAACGCAGCCTCCCATTTTGGTGCGGTCTTTCTCGTATTTACCACATTTATACATCTGCATGCATATTTATGGGTGAATTAAAGAAGGTTACATTAAAAAAAATGTTAAAAAAACAATTGATGAACTCCTTATTTTTGAAGTCGGTTAATAGAATTATATGGATCTTAGATGGACTGCTTTTACTATTTCGTGATTTTTTTTTTATATGATAAGGTGGCAAACGAGCAAGCGGCCACCCGAAATCGCTGAAATAGCGAAGTGACCGTTGCCCATAGACATACGCAATCGCATATGCGTTGCCTACCTTTACTCGACGGAGGAGAGGATGCACAGAAAGAAAATATCTTCCCCTTCCTTGCATCCTCTCATCCGGAAAGTCCAGTTCCACTTCCCATCCTTTCCTTATAAAGAAAAGGATGGGAAATGAAAGAGGACTAAATTAGGCCTCCGGGACGCACACTCATCAGACGAAACGTGGAATTGCTTCCACTTGACGCCTGTCTTCTGTGTGGTCGTGGTATTTCACCGGGCGAGTCTGGCCGATTCGTGCGAAGATGTTAAAGCGGGCTCTACCATTTTATTTTTTTTTGAATTGAAGATCTGTCCGATAGTCAATCTAAAATTCCTGATATCACCGCATCAAAGTATTGTTGTAATAAAACAAATTTTACCAAAATAATAGGCATGTATTTTATAACAACTGACTGATTATATCACAATATACTTATAATAACAATTAGTTACAATTCTATGCACACAACGGAATATTTTTATTACAAATACTTAACACAAAATTAAGACTTTTCACTATACATATTTGGTTTACATATAATTTGGATTAAAACAAGGAAAATATGTTCTATAAATTCAAATGCTTAATGTTTAATTTAATAACGGCCGAACCCTATGTAAACAATTTTTCCTATCCAAGGTTAAAAATAATTGATTTCTTATTCATCTCCGTCAAATTTAATCTATTCAAGGTTAAGAAGGAAAGGAATCTTTCTTAAAATCTCCAGATCAGTTATTGGGTTCAATCATTTCACATATTCGATACATTAAGAAGGCTTAATTTTAGGAATTTATTTAGGTAAAGGCTTATAATTTTTTTTAATATATAAACTAGATGAAGCATTTTATAAAAGTAATTTTTTTTACTACCTTCATGCTCCGGTTTAGTTTATTTGTAGGTTAAAAATTTTTGATTTTTATTGTTTTTTCATAAGGCAGATTTATTGGTTAAAAACTTTGGCAGATTAAAAATTATTTTTAAGGGATTTTCTCAGACTGTATTAAACAATGTTTTAGAACTAACAAATTCAATTATTCATTATATTACAAATTTTAGGTTATATTTGATAAATTTAATGAAATATATATTTTTTGTAAATATACATATGGCTTTTAATTTTCAATGATTATAGATAATTAGAAGAAATTACTAATCTACAATATTATTCTTACAAACTATCTTATATCCTTACTAATAAGGAAACCCCAGGTTAATAGTACTCTTAAGAGTTCCACTGCATTACAAGCATTAAAATGTATTTTAATTCTTTTTAATAATCTGAAGAAATGTGGCAACAGTATGTTGCGTTATGTCAGCGGAAAACATCTACCAACAAAGATAATATAAGTATCTATAATTAAAATAATTGATTTAATGGATGTTTTCATTAAATTTTTAATGATTAAAAATTTTAATGATATTTTTTTTTGCTTTATAATAATAATATTTTTACATTTTTCGCAATGACTAATCCAATATTTACATATGTACATATGTATATTATAATGCCATCTACAAAGATTTATATATACCAGGAATGTAATTAAAAACAAAAATTGCCAAATAATGACATGGAATAATAAAATGATAAAAAATTTTGATAATCATCTGAAAACCACACCAGATAATAATCATTGTAATATCCGTTAAAATAATATTGTATTTATTTTTTTGGTAATTTTATTATTTAAAAAAAATAACAATAAAGATGTTCACAAATTTCATCTTATAAAATTTACTAAAATTCAAATTTTATATTAATTATTATAAAATGTGAATTTAAAAAACAAATAAATTTAAATGTAAAATGTCAGATTGCTAAAAATATGGACGAAAATAAATGATTTTTCAAAATCTCTTCAACATAAAAATATCATCACCAAACATGTAAAAACAATTAAAAATTAATAGATACCGAATATTTCTTTTATACAAAAAAATCTCTAAATGAATAGAAAAAAACAAAAGCTATTGTTATGCATACTTAGACCAATGAAAATGCCACATGGCCGGTGGCATTTGTTGTGTGACATTGCCATCACAGTTGTCCATGTGACATCTCTTTAACTAGTTCATGACCAAGCAAAATAATAAATGATTATCCTTAATAACTAATAGAGAGAAAAATGGACATAAGACTGAATTAAATCCTTGCCCTAAACATTTACGTGCTTAAAATCTCTAAATAATTTAGGGACTTCAAATATTTACGACATAACAGTTAAAATAACGATGTGAAATAGGCTGAAATATTTGCAATACTAATATATGCTTAATCTACAGTTAATATTTAAAGAATTAAATTATTTAAATCCAACTTCTTTTTATTTTGTCTTTCCGCTAAATCAGAATATTAATGCATATTAAATAAATTAAATGCTAAATAATTTGGATTTGTCTAAGCAAAGATTGCTTATTTATTTAAGCATTTTTTATTACTATTAAATAGATATAAACCCATTGGTATATTGTCATACTATGTTAAAATATATTAACACATTCAAATCCAATGTTATTTTTTCCCTTCAGGGAAACTGAATTTGTTAAAATATGATTTCATATGTTCAATTTTATTTGTAATTATTATGTCAGAGAACCCTTATATTGACTATAGTTTTAAATTAATAAAATATCAGAGGTTACTAGAACCATGATGTGAAATAAAGATTGATCATCAGCTCACTAAACATCCCCACCGAGGGGCTCGGAGTCTACCCTAAGTTAAGGGTGATTAATAATAAATAAAGATTAATCAATATTATTGGCACTCAGTTCAATATGAGTACATATAAATGCACATATAAATACATAATACACATTATGTATACATTAACCACATAATTCGGGGAACAACAGCAAAAATTCTAATTATTGTATAGTAACTCTATAGAAATATTTCTGGCAAATGGAATAGAAAGAGATCAAAAAATGTTTTTGTTTTTATGAAAATAATGGAAATACTTTCAAAATGATGATAATTGATTAATAGTACTGAACAGTAGAATAAATAAAAAACAAAATTGCGTTTGCGACTAGACACTGGTCTAGATTATAGTACCAACTGAATCAGGGATTTAATGATAATACCTATTTTTTGAGACCTAAGCCCAACTATGGTTGCTGTGTGATTCATAATGAGTAATGCTAAGCTACATTCTTCTCAAAATCTCTAAATACCGCTGAACATGGATAAGCGAGAGTCCAAGAGAACGCGATAATTTCATTGCTTAAAGATCTTCTCTCTCTTTTGTAGAGGTTCCTAGGTTATCCAGGCTTGATGTGAGAATTTGACTTTTTTTACTTACCTTTGGGCAAGACTTGGTGATAATGATGGGGCCAAACAGGTTCACTACACAGACAGTTCACACTCACTAATTCACTTTATAAATCATAGCATTGAAGGTGTTAATACAACTGAAAGTCGTGGGTAGTGGAGCCGTCCCTCCAGGTGGGCTCGTCAGCGACCTTGGCGCGGCACAGCGGGCAGGTGTGCTCTCGGTCAAGCCACGCGGAGATGCACAGCTCACAAAAGATGTGACTGCAGCCCAGCCTCACTGGAGTTGTGTAGTCGTCGTGACAAATAGGACAGGAATCTCCTGCAGATACCAGTTGCTCCCCCGTTGGTTTGGTGCCCAAGTTCTGTAACAGACAAAACTGTAACATCATTTTTATATACGGGAAGACGTAACATTTGAGCTACATAGAAATAATTATAAAAACTGCTGTAATATATCGAAAATCGAAGTAGTGCCCTAAGCAAGTATTAAAAAATGTCCTCACCACACTCTGCAGCAAAGTCCAAGTTGCATTCTTGAAGAGTCGCAGCCTGACCAGCACCTCAACGACCTTGGCGATAACATAGATTGAGGTGAGGAACATGCCCACCATCTTCTCCGAGCCCTCGTACGATTGCATCAGGAAGAACACCCAAGGCTGGATCGTCAGCAGCGCACGGTACAACTGAGATACTGCTTCCGTGAATAAATACACCTTTCCCTGAAAAATACATGAAGTCTTTATTAAATTTAATCAGGAATATACTAGCTTCTATTAACCAATATTTCTTTATACCACAGTGACAAAGTCACAAACAACTGTTTGTAATTAGAAGGTGGCAAACGAGCAAGCGGCCACCTGAATTCGCCCAAATGGCGAAGCAACCGTTGCCCATAGATATCCACGTTTGCAGTTGTGCTGCCTACCTTCAATCGACAGTGGAGAAGACACACAGAAAAAGGATATTTCCCCTTCCTAAGTCCCCCTCCTCCATCAAATCCGCATCCCCTTCCTCTCTTTATAAGAAGAGGTTGGTAAGGGAAAGTTGACTAAAAGAGGCCTCCGGAATGCACCAAGTAATCATATTATTAAAAAAAATTGTCATATTACATACCCTTTTCTGGAACGGCAATAGAAATGCTGGCATCATAGTGACCAATATTTTAACATCCACTGTCACAATCTTCACTACAAGATCAGTAAGTATCACAAGCCACAGCAGCTCCCATACATCAATGGGCTCCGTGTAGCCCGGGAACATGATCACATTGGGCAACAACTTGCCATGACCAAACAAGAAGTGAACAACACCTATACAACATACTGTGAACACAAGCTCACAGAATAATGCTAGTATGCTGCGGTTCGCTTGCTTTCCATGCTCCCTGAAACAAATATCTATGTGAAATCATCTGAGTTATAGGCATCAAACTATGTATAGTGAATTATATATTACTACAACTAAATTTAAAGATTTTACTATAGTTATACTATTAATTTAACCGTTTAAGTACCAGAAAAAGTTTTGCTGAATACACCAGTTTGATCGGAAAAAGATAAGAATTTAAAAAGAAACTACAACCTAACATAAGACAGGCATGAAGTAGATTTATCTATCTGTAGATATCTATCTGTAGATTAATGTATCTAAAGATTTGACAAGGGAATAGACAAAAAAGGAAAATATCTTTTTCTCCTTACATCTCCTTTTCTGCTACGGTTACTTAACTATTTTTGTAATACCAAGCGGGCTTCTCTTCTTTATATTTAATATGCATATATCTTAGTGGAAAAAGAGCTATTGTTTAACCTACCTTCTAACTAGGCTGTTGCAATGCGTGAATGTGCAGAATAGAACACAAAATGTGAAGATTCCCTCTCTGCTGTCATATATCAACTTAATAAACAAGATGAGATAGAAAGGCGCATAGCGGATCATAAAATTTAGCGCTGCCCTCATATCTAGTACCTGAAATTAAATAACAGTAAAAATCAGTTCAATCAAAATAAACCTGTCAAACATATTTATTTCCAATTTAATATTTCCACATATTCCACTTTTCCATATTTTAATGGAAATTTTTCAATTTTTTCATTAAAAAAAGTTCCGTTATTAAGTATAATAGATAAAAAATTTATATACAAATTTAATGTTGTTTATCATAAATACAGATGGCGTTACCATTATTATTTATGTACAATGTAGCAAAACTTTGAAGTACACTCATGTAATCAATGTTGAAATTTTTACAGTCAATTGATAATGGAGAAGTTGAGACATAAAATGTACTGGTGAATCTTCACTGTTGTAACAACTGTATTACAATATTGCCATCCCTTTCATTGTCTTCGATAAAAACAATGATAGCAATAGTTCAATATCCAAATGTTATGTGCAATTAAAAGTATTGCGTAACATTTACTGTAGAAATTGTTTGTAATTAAACGAAGTGATCTTTTCTTTATGCATTCCAAAAATATTGTAATTCAAAAGAACTGATGTATGTGACTGTTTAGTGTAACACGAAAATGAATGCATCAGTGGCAAAGTTGTACTGACCGGACCACAATTTATATGTCCAGGTTCGATCTCTGCCATGTTTTTTAGACTTACATATGTACATTTACCCGACATAGGAAAACATCATTGCACATATCAGTGAAGGAATTCAAAGATATGTGCGAATTCAATAAACCTGTACTAGGCCAGTGTGGTTGACCTAGTTATACCCCCAACTTGGTTATGGTCTGAGCACCATGATGGGGAAATTTAGTGAGGTAATGATGATGATGATATAAAAATATGATACTTTGACTTTGGAAAGATGTACATAACATTAAGAGCATGCTTTATACTATTAAAAGCATTAGCCTCACCACTAAAGGAGTTACCTGCTGATTTAAATCATCACTTTGACTGTCATTGTCAGCGTTATCATGTACATTGTTGTTATTAGATGGATTCACAGGGACATTGACCTCTTGGTTTTCCTGACCCTGTTCCGAAATATTTGAGTTATTCGAAGGGCTAGCACTAACTCCATGTGTAGTAGACTGTGACCTCTGTGCCAATGGTGTGCCCCTTTCTGTTACTACATAAGTCTGTGAGGCAGGTCCTAGGTTTACATGAGCTATGGAACTCTGTGGCCGTTGTACACCATCTCCAGTCTGATGAGTTCCTGGAGTGTTTCTTGGTAACCATGTGGGTAGAGATAGTCTGGCATTGTTTCCCTAAAATATAGAATCATTTTTTAATAATATGATAAAGTGGTATTGATTAATTTGTAATTGGTCAGTATTATGAAGAAAATATGAGTGTAATGTGAAAAATGGATTTTCATAATCTATGATTCAAACTTGGCACAACTGTTTATTTTGTACTCATAGATTAAATGATAGAATTTATGAGTCACTGTAAATTACGTTTGTTTTCCAACATTTAATTACCATTTTCTTACTGTAACTTATGTTACACTAGATTTTGTTTAATGAGTATGACTAATCCAGATGTTTTAATAGAATTTAGAATTTTTCCTTAAAATGAATTCATTTCCAAACTATTTTACTACATGTAAGGAACCTAACTTACCTATATAGTAATAAGACGATACTGAAGGAAGAAAAAGTTTTGGCTGATTAACATCAGAACATGTCTTAATACAAAGCACTTACCATTCGAGCATGTTCCACTAACGGTCTAATTTCACGAAACACGCTATTTAATCGATCCCCTAAACCAATATTACTTCTCGGAACTGGCTGTCTTGATGTAGAATCCATTCTCTGTATGGGAATGTTACGGTTGGGGCTTTCATTAGGCGGATCATCTTCTATGTCCAGATTGATTTGATTCGTTTGCGCCATCTTAGGAATAAAAAATGTAACTGAGAATAAAAGAGAAAATCAACACTTCCCAATCATTTCCAAATATTATTGAATACGATACGAAGGTCAAGAAGTTTTGACACTTCTTTACATTGATTGACACAGTTGACATATCAAATTGACATTGAAAATCAGACTACCTCATTTTTTTTAATAAAAATCAAATGGCTTTGTATTCATGTCTTTTAAGCCACTCAAATAAATTGGGGATAACCTATGAAAAAATGCAATTTTGCCTTTAATTAAACATGACTAGCTGTCGCCCGCGACTCCGTCCGCGTGGAATAATATAAAAAAAAATAGTTCCCGGCAATTATTCTCTAGACCTCCACAAACATTTCAAGACCAAGATAAGATAAATTCGTTCACACGTTCTTGAATTTTAGCAAGACTATCGAACAGCAATTCATTTTTATATATTTAGATTAATTTCGTGGTAACGTTATAGTGATGATCTTGATTTCGGGAATTTATGTCATGAGAGATGGGCAGGGAATCTATTTTTAAAACAAGCAAAGAAGAGAAAGACTTATGTTTTTAGAGTTTTTTGTTTTACAATTGATAGTTGAAAGTTTTAGGACGATTGTAACATTAATGGTGAAAAATAAATAGTCAAATACATAAATTCAAATAATATTTATTTTTAAACAAATAATCATCAATAGACCGCGATGAGCTTCTAGCGTTCGATACAATGAGCAATTTATTACTAAAATTATATTGTACGAATCCTCGACTCAAAAATAAATTCAGTCTTTATTTAGGCTCCATCTGATGCGACAAGAGCGGTCGTTGTCGACTAGAAAATGTTACTCAAACTTTACTATTATTTGTGCTTTCGTTGAAAGGAAAATCTTCACAACTTATCATATCAATTTGAACATTTGATATACTGACTATGGGCGTTGCTAGGAAAATTAAATTACAGAAAATTCGTTAACATTATACACGTATTAATTAAGCCATATACAATAAAATATTGAATGTCTTTTCCACATCACGATGTAAAATAAAAATTTACATAATAAACCCTGACAATTTAAATGTTTAAACGCCTAGTACGCCCCATGCTTTGGCACTGCCTTTGTTTCAAACTCACGCGTCATTATCTGGTTTTAAGGACAAGATGCCTTGAGCGTGAAGATCTTTCACCGCTTCGAGTAATCGGCTTTCGGCCCTGGGTTCACCGAGAGCGACGTCTACACTTCCAGCACATAACAGCAACGCTCTTAGCGCTGCTCTTGGCCAATCTGGCTTCAAGCCCCTTCTGACTTCGGCTCCGGCCGCGGCCGCCCCCAATGTCATACATTCAGCTTCCAATCGATCTCCATATTCCTCTATCAAAGATTCCCCAACGGCCCGTCTCATTTCCGGCGTGAGAGAGGATAATAAAAGCAGAGCGACGTCGTCCATTGGTCTTCCGAGGGAAACCATTTGCCAGTCCAGTGCTATACATTCACTTTGTCCTTCCTTCTCTCTAAACAAGAGATTGCCGCTCCAAAAGTCAGCGTGTGCTAATGGGGCTGGCTCAGCGGGTCTGAGCAACGTGCCGAGCAGGGACGGGGCTCTAGCACTTAGGGCTGACACAGCGGCTGCTTCATCGATGCAGTCCGTACGTCCGCGTAGGAAAGCTTCGAGTTGTGGCAGCCCTCTCCGTACGAGGCGTAAGTAGCCAGCTGCAGCGCGCTCGCAGGGGAAAAGGAAGTCGAATCTTTGGTCGAGTGGGCCTTCTCTCTCTCGTAATGCTAGCGATAAGGCGTGGAGTCTCGCTGCCGCGTAGAGCGCCGCCCGCGCCCTCTCAACTGTCAGTCCTTCCGCAAAATCTGCTGAGTCGAAGCCGTTTGCTGTGACATCCTCAAGGACCAATTCGCTGTCACCGCCGATTTCATCTGCAACGTAAAAGATAGCTGTAAGTAACTCAACATTAATATTTTGTAAAAGCAAAGTCATACTATGAAAGACACTTTGGATAAAATTGTGTTGTAAATTTTGGGTACATAAAACAAATTGAAAGTAGTATGCTGTAGAATCTCTCCTTTGTTTACAGCATAGTAACATGTTTATAATTCAAAAGGTATTTGCAGGGGACTGATGACCGTAAATCTAGGCCGACCGACTTACAAAGCTTAACGGGGCCGCTTTGAAGAAAGTATGACGGCCTGAAAACCTCGCTCCATAATATCTTTCCATTTTTACGAGTAATGTCTCATCTATTAAGTATTTTAAGTCACAGACTCAAAGAGGAGTCTGAAAAATATTAAATTTTTTTGTATATCCCTTTTATAGTAGATTTGATCTTAATTCCGCCTGTACTCAAATATGTTAAATGTTATTTTGTTTAGAAAATCGTATAAATTCTGGATTTTGTTAAATCCCGCTCAGATAATTATAACGAGAAAAATCTCAAAAAAATAGTAAAACAAAGAAAGTGCATTGTACAGTCAAGTACAACAGTCGCGCCTCGGCTATTAACGACAATCGCTAACGATTGCGGTAAACAGCAGAAAATCATAGCGCACTTATTCAATTGGTAGCAATTAATAGCAGTTAATTTAATTTTAACCTAAGAATATACTCCTTTCTTTATTTTTTTTAGAACGGATTGATTTTATCGTTATAAGAGTAAAAATAAAATTGCTCTTTTTTAAATGAAATGGACCGTCTAGTGACTGATATTTTTAATGTTAAAATGAAACAGAGATTATTTCAATTCATATGACCTTGACGCGACAAAAATAATTATCAGCTATGTTATGAATGCATTGACTGAATCTTCAAATGATACACAAAATAGTAAAATAATTTGTCGACATATGACTTCTAGCCGGCACATTTTTTTTTCTTGAGAATTTATGCCGACAAACATGGGTTTTTGTGTTAATTAAGGGAAATTATAATCTTAATCACTATGTGTCAATGCTAAAATGTATTATTACATACCTGGTAGTCTAGCCTTCACACATTTAGGTATTGGTAGCCCCTGCCCAGGACCAAGAGCCTCCTCGGCCAAACGGTTCAAGACCGGAGCTAGTTCGGTGTAGAAGAGTATCTCTCGTGTATCAAACTGGGCTTCAGCGACGAAGAGCCTTCCGAAAGGGTCTCGCGGCGGTAACTTCACTACTAAAGGCAGGGCCTCGCGTTCTCCGTCGCTCTCGTAGCGTACGGTTACCGCGAGGACCCTGCTCAGGGCCCCGGCGACTCCCGCTCGGGATTCCACGCGTACCTGTGATTTTAGTTTAGATTTCGATCAGTATAATATAAAGCTATTTGTAACCACAGTGTCTAATCATTTGATAGAGAGAAATTATAAGAAAAGTTACAAAAGTTAATGTAACTTTTAAACCAAAAGAGTTTGATTTTTTTTAGTATTTTTCGCCGTGTAGTTATCAATCTGGCTATACACCATTACCGTTTTATCGTTGAATTTTGGGACACGCTGTATAATAATCGTAAAAAACATAACATGGTAAAAAACGTACTTCTTGTGGCGCGACCACGCCCGCGGCGGACAGTAACTCCCTGGCCCACTCCTCGGTGAGCGCAGTGTCCGCATCCGACTCAGGGCCCACCTCGCAGTCGGACTCCTCGCTGCCACTGCTGGGGGCTTCGGAAATCGCCGCACTGTCCGGACCCCCGGCTTGCATCTTATGCACTTAAATACTTCGCACAAACAAACCAAAACAATTACACACACATATTTGGCGCGAAACGTAAAATTATACTATCGTAAAAATAACTGAAGACATTCTAGCGTTCTTTACAGCAAGGAACGTATTTAAAGTGTCGTTTAAGATGCAATAAATGTCGTCCCCTGCGAACTGAGCGCGCGCATGCGTCCTCCCTCCCTGTATTATTCATCGGAACTCCCGTATCCCGTGACGTGTCATCGTTCAATCGTAATGCTAATGCTATGTGCAAAGAAAGAATAGAAAAGTCTAGTAATGTGAAAAGTTAAGTCTTATTTTGTACTAACTGTAAAAGTAAAAAGAGATAAAAAGAAGTACTAAATTTTTATTCGCAGAGTAATACACATATTATTTGGTTGGTAGATTAGGCTGAAACCTCAAGAAAAAGATATTTTTTATATTAGGCTTGACAATAAAGTAATAATAAATAAGTTTATATCAGACAGCTGAACTTTAACCTGAAACTTAATGGTCAGGGTTTGAATCCAAGACCACTTGAACGCTTAAAGCGAATGAATTTAAGTAGTACCACACTGACTAGGTCGTAGACCTCTCCATCTTGTCATGATTTAAAACTAATTTAAATAAAAACTTACAAATATAATAATATGTATATTACATCTCGGATTTGAAAGATAACTTGTTGGTTTATATTTGAACGAAAGAGTTCTTACGTGCGAAATAAAGAAACGCGTTAATCTAAAAAAATATTATAATTCGTTTAATTTTAATTGAAATTATATTCTTCTATTTTTCCATGCTATTTTTGTAATTATCATTTATTTCATAATATCAGTCTATCATGAAATCTGTTATCACATTATCTAACGTCACTGTCAATTGTCAAAGTGGCTCAAAGTAAATGAAAAAAAAACCCGGTAGCCGGAGAACCAGCAAAATACATCGCTTTTCCGCAAACGAGTAAAAATAAATATGGGTAAAGAAAAATCAAAAAAGCGACGACGTTCCTCTTCATCATCAGAGAGCAGCTCTAACTCTAGCAGTTCGGAATCATCTCATGAGAAAAAGAAACTTAGAAAATTAAAAAAGAAATTGAAGAGGGAACAAAAGAAAACTGAAAAACTGCTAAAGAAGAAACTGAAAGAATCGAAAAGAAAACTGAAGAAGAAACGTAGAAGTAACAGTGACAGCAAAGACTCACGAACTCAAGAAGCCACTGCGGATATTCCTATCGGTAATATTTTATTATTATTCGATAGACAAAATTCCTAGTGGATATTGATCAATAACATCTTCAATGGCGTTTCAGGCGTAGGGCGTTCGTCAAAAAGAAATCATCTTATAAGAGAGTTTTCAGTTTTTTATTTTATTCTACTTTTGGATATATTATCAATGAAATGTCGAAATTCTTTAACAGCTTAATATGATCTTAATATACATAGTAAGTAAATGGTTATTTTAGAGCTGATGGAAAAATCAAAAGCAATGGCTCCAATGACCAAAGAGGAATGGGAACAGCGTCAGAGTGTTGTCCGTCGAGTGATGGATGAGGAAACTGGCAGATACAGGTTATCCTATCTTTCTGATATAAAGCTTATAAAAGACTTTACAAAAAGAATAGCTTATGTGATAAACAATCTAGTAAAAACATAACTTTATTTAGTTGTAAAGTTATCTTCTTAAATTGTACTATTTAATTATCTCCCTATCTTGATCTGCTCAATGTTAGAACAATATATTTTCTCCTATTGAAGGCTTATAATAATTAAAAGAAAATTCAGTAAAATTACTTTAAATATCTTGAATTAGTTATTTAGTAATATACTTTAAATCTGTCTCTTGCTGTCTCTCAGTGTAGTCCTGCTTTTCAGGTTAATAAAAGGCGATGGGGAGGTGATAGAGGAGATAGTGTCTAGAGATAGACACAGACAAATCAATAGACAAGCAACAAATGCAGATGGAACCTTCTTCCAGTCACAAACTCTTGACAAGAAGATGCTGTAATTTATAAGATATTTTTATATTACGCTTATGATTTTTTTTTCTGCTTGAAAAGGTAAGGAACAAGTAATTGCAATGCCAAAACACCTGTACAAACTTATACAAACATTTTGCTGGCTTTGTTTTATCAAAGGATATATCAGGTTCGGAGATGTCAGAAATATTTAGGTTAAAGAATGTTGCAGTCTCTGTTTGCCGTCTAAAGCATCTACCTAATAGTTTAACAACAATTATTTTTTTACACTTTGAAAGTATTTGAATATGTTTTTATAGATAAAACTGAGATATAAACGTGTGTATTATTTGTATATATCACACTTGTATACTGTTTATGTAAGCACTGAAAGACTTAATATTTTTAACGATTTTTTTTTATATCATAAGGTGGCAAACGAGCGAGCGGCCACCTGAAATCGCTGAAATAGCTAAGTGACCGTTGCCCATAGACATATGCAATTGCATATGCGTTGCCTACCTTTAATCGACGGAGGAGAGGATGCACAGAAAGAAAATATTTTCCTTTCCCATGCATCCTCTCATGCGGAAAGTCCACTTCCACTTCCCATCCTTTCCTTATTAGAAAAAGGATGGGAAGGGAAAGAGGACTAAATTAGGCCTCCGGAAAAGGATATAAACGACATGGTATTTTCATTGGTATATCTTCAAATTATTGTTCCTTAGCTCATGTATAAAATGTACATATAAATTGTTATATTAATTTCATTGATTATAGTACAAATTATTTTATTTTATTGAATGCTAAAAGAAAGATGTCTTCCTAATATGAGTATACTTTCTTGTTCTAACTCAGTAGGATGTGAAAATATTTAAGCTATATTTATGTTATTGTTATAGATTTGCGGGATTTAATTTTTTATTATCATCCTAGCTTGTCCACTTGTCTAAGTTCAATCTATCTTTAAGAAAAAATTGTCAAATACAAAAACTAGGCATCAAAACATAATTATATTTACTTTGCTTCTATACAACTAGGATTTTACTGTGCATAATTTTGTTGTATATATGAAGTAAAATCCTATAAAAGTTGAGAAATTTATAATATCTTTAGCACAGCAATGAACACAGCGATTATAAAGTTTATAAAAAAAATTGTAATAAAATTCATACTAAATTATTTCGTATTAAAAAATTACAGAATTATATTGGTGTATGTAGTGTAATAAACAGTCATAGCTCAAAATGTCTTTTAATATCTATTTATTTTATTATATGCCTGTTTTTGATGTAATGCCCAGTTTACATGATTCCAGCGCTGGATTACAACTGGATCAATGTAAACCCAAACTGGAATGCATTTTGTTGGTAATTAAATTTTACAATGACTGAAATATAAACTCATGAATCTAAGACTACGTATTAAAAAAAATACGTAGTAGTGTAATAAATTATTTATTTATCTACTTATTTATAATAATCACAATCATAATTCGTCTTTGGTTAAAATATTTTCTTCATCTTTTAATTTACTTTCATTTTCATTTGTCAATTCCTCATCTAAATGCTCTTTGATCATGTTGACAAGATTCTCAAGTGGCTTGCTGCCGTTTTCTATGCTGACAATTTTTTTATGTTTATATAAAATTAGAGTTGGTAGCCCACTTATCTGTGATAGAAGAAAAATATTAATTACAATGTTCTCTCCTCATAAAATATAATTTGATTAATTACAATCAAATCATAATCATCAGCTTACTATACGTCCACACCGAGGGGCTCAGAGCCTACGCTGAGTTAAGGGTGATCAAATAATATATGAAATTCACAAAAGACTTAAATCAGTTTTTTAAATCTTTATTTTAAATAGCTGTCATCTGCACAAATTAAAAAAAATAATTACTAGCCTATATGTTTTTCCAGACTTTTAAATCTATATCTAGCACAGAGATCCATTAAGTCGTTCTGGAGATATCTTAAAACAAACATCCATCCAAACATTCGCATTTTTATAATATTAAGCAATATAAATAGTGAACACAAACAATACTGACCTTTTCCATTTCACAAATATTTTTCGACCTTACGCAATCGATGTCGGCGATTAACACGCGGCTTTCGTTCTGAAACTTTTCACCAAGCTTCAACCATAAAGGATTAAGTTGCATACAGTGTGCGCACCTGAAATAAAAAAAATACATTAGTACGAATATTCTTACACTGATTATGAATAGATTTTCTAAAAAAGCATGACAAAAAATACTTTCATTACCAGCTATATTTAGATCATAGCATGGACTACTGCCCACAGATGAACTTATGATTTTGTAAGATGGCTAGAAAGTGCTGGACGTGAAAACCAGCCAGTATTAATGTTGAAAGGCTTGAGAAAAATCTTTATAAGCAGACAATGTATCCTTTACATACCATGGTGCAAAAAAGTTCACAAAGACTAAATCCTTTTCCAAGAATGTTTCAAATGTCTCCTCAGTTATCCTGGCAACTGGTAATGTTTTCTTTTTCTTCATAAACTTATCAGGATCGTGATTTTCAGCCAGCATCATTCTATCCACATAAGCCTTGAGCTTTTCTAATGTATCCACTTCTGAAACACCCATCTTAAAAAAAAAAATTGACATTGTAAGTAATTGCACAGTTATCTAGGATTATACATGTTTGAAACATATTTCAAAGTGGATGTAACCTTTGTTATTATTGTAAATAACTTACTAATTGACTATTAGTTTCAGCAAGAGTGTCAAACAGGAAAAACATGGTGATGTCCATGGGCGTTGTTGAACACCTCGGTGTTCCCGCTGCTTGTTTGCCCCCTTAGTTATGAAATAAAACATTTAAAAACACTTACAATTCTTCCATTGAAGATCCACAAAAGGTGTGGGTATTGTTTGATATCAAAGCTCTTGCAAGTAATCTCATTGTCCAGGCAGTTTACTTTGCCTATCTGTATGTATTCACTGTGAGCGTAATGCACCGCTAGCTCTGCCCATACCGGTGCCAACCGCTGTAACAAATAATAAACATTCACCATGAGTTTCAAAGTCCAAAATATTTGTTAAAAAAAATATATTATTATCTCGGTTTGTCACAGATAATGAAAGTGATATTTGGTTTTAAATGGAAATTTTGGTCTTAGAAACCCACAGTTCACAAGTTCGTCTTAAAATTTCAGTACCATGAAATGTGTAAAGATGTATTTCTTATTTTTCTTAATTAATAAAATCTTAGTTTTATCTTTTGCACTTACCTGTGATGTTTTGCACCATGGCATATAGAACATAACAAAATGTTGCCCTTTAGAAACAAATTTCTCAATATTTTGGTCTGTCAGGTAAGCCATACCACTGTATATCTTCACTTCATTGCTTTTATCTGCCTCCTTGACCTATAAATTACAATCATATAATTTTTTCTCACAATCAGCGACAAGATCTCATTAAAAGTTCACTTTAATATAACATTATAGGAGCATTGATAGTGTTCATAAATATTTTAAACAATGCATACCCCAGATTTCATAGCAAACACTTCACTAAGGAACAAAGTTAAGGATGGTAAGTCTCTGGTACCCTTGTATTCAACGGGAGAGAAAGAATTCTTATGGAAGTACAGTAAAGTTGGATAACCTAAAAAAGAAACATAGATATCATATTTAAAAGATACACAGTACATCAAAGCAGTTTTAAAATAATTCAATATCATATAGGCAGCAAAATATCAAGAATACTTTGTAATTTAATGATACTTAAAATTTAAAATTAAAAAGCCAAAACCACCTGTAATATCAGTTTCTTGGCAAAGTTTCGGATGCAGTGTGCAATCTACTTGGGCTATAGCAAATTTGGAATCCTTTGTATTTATAAGTTCGGCTAGTTCTACCCAAATCGGCTGAAACTCGGTGCAATGACGACACCTGGAAATTTTTGAATGAGATTTGTAATTATAACTAGTCTACAAGAGATGAAAACATTAAAGTCTATAATTTATACTTACCATGGAGCATAAAACATTATAAAATTGCCATCCATATCTTCGATTTGCCCTCTAAAATTATCAGGATTATATTCATATATTGTGCCATCTTCGGGTGTTACAAATCGGGGCAAAAACAAAAATAGTGATATCCAGTAATTTAAATTCACGATCATGTTAACTCACTGCCTAATCTATTAGTGTTTTACAAAGTTATTGAAGCGCGTCTTTAATAATACTAGGTTTGATAAACATTAATAAATAAGAAACCATGAAATAGTGAACCAAAAATAACGCAATTTTATCATGAAATCAAAATCAATCGCTGAATGACAGTGACATTTAATTTCAGTGATAAAATGACACTTTTGAATAGGGTTGTCCATCATCGAAATAACCGAAAAAACGATTTTTTTCTGGAAAAATTAATCATAATTTTTTCTCGGAGAAAAATTAAGGGTCTTGCAGGTCTTGCAGCGCATTTTTCATCTTGAGGGGTCAATAGTCATTACACATAATCATTGAATTATTTTAGAGTATCTCAGAAACCTATTTTATGTTTTGAACAATTCAGTGTTGGTTACTACACTTAATTCTTTACCATCTAAATTTATATATTTAGTTCACTTGAGAACAACTATGATGGTTAATTATTAAAACATGTATCTTTGCAACAAATGCATCTTTCAAAATAACACAAAATACGAATCGTAAACGTCAGTTTGGCGTAGCTTTTACGAACACACTAAAGAATGTGGTAATTCTTCAAAATGGTCGCTTTGTATGGTTTGCCAACTTGCATGTCTGTGTTTTAGAGTCCTTTGTTTTCGTAAATCATTAAATATATCGCAATATTTCTACGAAAACACGTCCCGGTGGCTGTTATTTTGTGTATGCACGAGCGTTGATTTTGTAATACTAAATTGTGTTGTGGAAGAACGATGTCATCGGTAATGTGAGAGCACTCGACTATCATTTTTATTTTACAAGATTATGACGTCTGAGATTCTCCTTTGGATTTGCAGAGAGTAAAGGAATATCAAGTAACTTGTTTGACTCCTTCTATACCTTTCATTCAGCCCTTTTCTCATATTGTATATGTAACAAAGCCGACTCTAATTTTGGCATTCCACAGCTCCTATGACAGATTTGATTCGTGTTGAGCATTCTTTTGCTTTGCTATTGCTGTCTCTAATTTTTGATTTAAATTCTATCTTGTTATAATTTTAATTTAACGAATTGCCAATAAATAAGAATTTATAAAGTATTATGTTATTTTGTTTACTTCAAAATAAACAGTTTTTGACATTTAATACAAATTAGTCCAAGATTTTAGTAACACAACCAGCAACAAATTCAAGTTTTAAATGTGTCTGTGTTTTATTTTCAGTGGTCCAGTTGTGAAATTCTAATAAAATTCGAACAATACAAAGTTTTACAAGCAATAATAGAACTTAAAAGTGAGTGACTTTCGTTTTGCTGGTGACAAAACATTTTCAAGAAGAATACACGATAAAACCACAAATGCGAGTTGTAACAGCTGATAAGTGCAGCTGGCGGGGTGTGCTTATGTGATGGGAGGGGTGGGATGAAAGCTCGGCGCTCGGGCGCTGCGCCATGAACCCGCCGGCGCCCGGCAAGACGGCCACGCGCTCCTCCGGGTACCACCAGAAGGCGCTCGCCGAAATACGCAACTCCTTGCTCCCATTTGCTAATATTGGAAATTCTGAACCACCTGGTTCCTCGGCAGCAAGTACAGTGAGCTCCGGAGTCAGCTCTGGCTTTAGTTCATCATCTGGTAATGGGCTGGAAAAGGATCTGAATGTGCTGCCACAATCTCTAAATCAATTAATTGCACTTGGATATGAAGAGGTAAGAATAAGTATTTTCTAACATAATTTGAATACAATCTCATTTAATTTTATAAAAAAATACTGACTGGCAGTGTTTGATTTCAATAATTGAACAATAAAATTGCTGAATCCAAAAAAAGTTAATGTATTGATATTAAATGCAGCCTATTATTTGGGCAGTGCAGGGGTGGTCAACCTTTATCTATTTACCAATTTTCTAAAGGAACATTTAATGTGTCATAAATGTTCAGCCAAATAGTTTTTACTATGTGATTATTGGGAACATTCCTTAGGTTAGGGATCACTTGCCCTATAATACCTACATAAGTTTTTTTCATAGTGCAAAATGAATTTTCATCATTGTCATAACTAAAATATTGTGTTGCATGTCATTAGTTCACCATCCCTAATAATAGGGTTTGGCAAAATGTTTTATTTTTATTATCTACATAGACATAACATAGATTTGTAATTTGTAGTTGTTTATAAACTTATCTTTACAGACACTACTATAAAGGCAAGCTGATTATAAACAAGTTCATTGAATTTAAACCCATATGCCTTCTACAATGTATATAAACATGATTATCATTGTGAAATATTGAAAACATGTGCTGCTAAAGATAAGCCTCCAACTAAATAGTCTCTATCTTTGTCTATAGGATTAGTAACTTTTTATTTTATAATTTGCAATTGTTTTCAGGATCCTGCTGTCAAGGCACTTAAATATGCGGGAGGTCGTTTTGACGCAGCTCTCGACTATTTGTCTAAACAACAGGAACCTCTCAATGGTGTGCTGAAGTCCAGCAACTTTAGTACTAAGCTAATAAGAAAGCCAAGTTTAGAGAGGGAGCTTAATCTCCATAGAGGAAGTCCCGCGCTCGATTCTGGCGCCGGAAGCTCGAGGTCGGACAGTCCCCGGCAGTCGGACGCACCGCCGCTGCCTCACGAGAAGTTGAGTAGACAGTACTCTCCGTCTGGTTTCTCCGAGCCCCCGCCTCCGCCGCCGCCGAGATGTCCCTCTACGCCGCCCGTGCCGCCCTCCGTGCAGCAGCTTATGAAGCGGATGTCGCCGGCGCCGCCCCTGCCGCCCGCGAGAGGCACCAGCCCCGTCGCTTCCGGGGCGCCCACGCCGCCGGCGCGACAACCTATGATAGTTCAGAATGGACCTCAAGTACAACAGCAACTAAGTCAACAAATACAAGCGCTAAGCATATACCAGCCCGGCTCGACCGGCGCGGAACTCCCACCTCCTTACCCCCTGTCAGGCGTCCCTCCGCCTCCGTCCTACTCTGTCTCCATGCAGAACCGACAGAGCCCCACCCAGTCGCAAGACTACAGGAAAAGTCCCTCGTCGGGGATCTACTCGGGAGGCACGTCCGCGGGGTCGCCGAGTCCCATTACCGTCACGCAATCGACGGGCTCGTCGTCCGGCATGACTCGCCCTACGCCCATTCAGCCGTGGACGGCGAGACAGGCGGTCCAGCCTCCTATCATTATGCAATCTGTAAAAAGTACACAAGTCCAAAAACCAATTCTGCAAACTGCCATCGCACCTGTAGCCCCACCGCCGGTCGCCAGCTCCGTCGTCCAACCTCCGCCGCCGTCTTATGCTAGCTCCATCCAACAGAAGCAGCAAGCACAGACGCCGCCGAGCTATCCGCTGGCGCCCAAGCCCTCGTCGCCAGGAACGACCCCGCCCGTTATTCCGACGGCGACCACGCCCACCGTCCCCACCACTGAACCTCCGAGTTATGCTATCACCATGCAGGCCTTGGCCGTCCAAAGAGGTATGCATCCGATCCCTCCGCCACCATACGGTAACCAGAATGACAATACGACGACGGTCAACTCGCATCATTCTCCTTTGCACAAAAAATATCCGAACAACTGCGATATGAAAGGCGAAACGTCCCAGGTCCCCATGGAAATCAAGTGTTTCAACCAAAATTGTAATTTATTAAAAGAAAGCGCCCCTTCGAGCTCCGACAAGTGCTCCGGTGACAAAGTCAGACATCAATCGCCTATACCTGAACGGAAACATATCAGTAAAGAAAAAGAGGACGAAAGAAGGGATTGCAAAGTGAGAAATTATTCACCTCAGGCATTCAAATTTTTCATGGAGCAGCACGTCGAAAATATTCTCAAATCGTACAAACAGAGAACGTACCGTCGGATGCAGCTGGAAAAGGAGATGACGAAGATAGGGCTCAGTGCGGAGGCACAGTGTCAGATGCGGAAGATGCTGTCCCAGAAGGAGTCCAATTACATACGACTGAAGCGAGCCAAAATGGACAAGTCGATGTTCACAAAGATAAAGCCGATAGGCGTGGGCGCGTTCGGGGAGGTGACGCTCGTAAGGAAGATTGATACTAGTCATCTATATGCCATGAAAACTCTGCGTAAAGCGGATGTGCTCAAGCGCAACCAAGTAGCGCACGTTAAAGCCGAGAGGGACATCCTTGCAGAGGCAGACAACGAGTGGGTCGTCAAACTGTATTACAGTTTTCAGGACAAGGACAATCTATACTTCGTCATGGACTATATCCCTGGTGGTGATCTAATGTCCTTGTTGATAAAGTTGGGAATATTTGAAGAGAACTTGGCGAGGTTTTACATAGCTGAGTTAACCTGCGCAGTGGAGAGTGTCCATAAAATGGGCTTCATTCACAGGGATATCAAACCCGATAATATTTTAATAGATCGAGACGGTCATATTAAGTTGACTGATTTTGGTCTATGCACAGGCTTCAGATGGACGCATAATTCAAAATACTATCAAAGAAATGGTGAGTTAATCTGCTTTTACCTTTCTATATTCACTGTTAATTCCAATAGTTCAATCAGTAAGGTTTTTGAAAATCACAAATTTCTTATGCTTTACAGATCATGGTCGGCAGGATTCCATGGATCCAGTAGACGGTGAGTGGGGTGCAATGGGGGAGTGTAGATGTCACCAGCTGAAGCCTTTGGAGAGGCGGCGCAAGCGAGAGCACCAGCGCTGCCTCGCTCACTCGCTGGTCGGCACACCAAATTACATAGCCCCCGAGGTGCTCCAGCGCACTGGGTACACGCAGCTCTGTGACTGGTGGTCGGTCGGCGTCATACTCTACGAAATGCTTGTCGGATCACCGCCTTTCCTCGCGTCTACACCCGCTGAGACGCAGTTAAAGGTGTGTTACATACTTTTTCGACAAGTTTTATGTCTTTTTTACCTACTTAAAAAATATGATTTACCACGAAGACAGTGTTCAATTAGTTATAAACCTATTATTGCGTTATTCCAGGTAATAAATTGGGAGAGCACACTGCATATACCGGACGCGGCAAACCTGTCGCGAGAAAGTAAAGACCTCATCTTACAACTGTGCTCCGGTCAGGACACGAGACTCGGGAAGGACGCCAACGAGGTTAAACATCATCCCTTCCTCAAGAGCATTGATTTCGAGAAGGGTTTAAGAAAGCAAGTCGCGCCCTACATCCCGAGAATCGAGTACCCCACTGACACATCAAACTTTGACCCCATAGATCCCGATAAGCTTCGGAACTCTGGCAGTTCAGACTCGAATAAGTCGGACAGTGAGCTTCTAGATAATGGCAAGACCTTTCATGGCTTCTTCGAATTCACCTTCCGAAGATTCTTCGATGACGGTTACACGAACAAGATAAACCTGGACGATGACAACCAGGGCCCTGTATACGTGTGAGCCGTGCCGACAGTGCAAAAAGAGACACTGAGACTAACTTGTAGGATTTTTTTTTACAAAGTGTGTGCCTTTGACTCTCTATATTACACTAGGATTTTTTTTTTGTAAACATAACGAATGTAACGTATTTAATTTTTTTTTTAATCTTAAAGCCGTATTGTTAATAATCCCGGTGATAATGTTGTAATATGGTATCGTTATGTATTTTGTAAGAGTAATCTTATTTTATTGTAATATATGTAATGGATGGACACAGTAGGACACAGCCTGGGTTACTATGGTGCTTTAAGAGCGCGTCGTCTCGCGTTCAGTTCACTGTATACTATTTTTGTAACTAGAGAAATTATTTATGAGATAAGAACAATCATGCAAAGTAGTGAATGATACGTCACTATATTTTCTTATGTATTTATCGAGTTAGGTCGCTTATGTGTGTTTGTTTATATAATTGTAAAACGTAACTTATGAAAGTCATTAACAGTTGTATTTTTTGGAATTGCTGTATGTGATGTGATTTCAAAGTGCTTCCATGTATCTGCGGGATGTAAGCTCATATGTGTGCCTTAACATTTTCTATAAAACATTTTACAATTATTAATATTCAGATTTGATTACATTTTTACAACTTGTAGAGTGCAATAGATATTTATTAACTTGAAATCTCTTTTGTTGAATTTTGATATTAGTTTGGTTGTTTTATTAGGATACAAATCATGCAATAGAATTCTAGTTGGATTCCTTGGAAATATTTTGTTTTAAACTAACCTTAAAATTGTTTATATGTAGCGCGATTAGTGACATGTATTTAAAGCCACTTACCTCTATAAATGGATTTGTTATAAAATGTAGTATTTTGTGCCTATTTGATTGTCGCCATTTTGGCGTTGGTAGTGGATTAGAATTAACAGTTAAGTAACATCAACAGGCGCGTTTAAATCGGAATGAAATAAAAGCTGTTCTTTCCAAGCAATCGCCTATCCATTTATAGGGGTCAGTGATTTAAAGCGAACAAAACAGCCGCGAGCATCGTGATAGAGGCAAGTTTGTGGATATCCTCAGACGAGTTGTAACTTGTACAGTATGATATAAACGAGTCACTTCACTTAAATTATGTGTTATCGAATGTAAATTGTTTTATTCTAAAAATGAAACATGCTTATAAGAAGTAAATGAAAAATAAAACATGGGAATTTTGTTGATTTTTTTTTTGTTTAACCCATACAATAGATGTATACTTTTTGTTTTTTTTCTCGATTTACAATAACCGTTATTAAGACTATTACAAAATTCCACTTATTTAAAGGTCAAAAATTAATATAAAAACAACTTTGATGTAGAAAAAGATAATTATGTGAATGTTCTGGCAGTACCAACTAAGAGCTTGACCTTAAAAACAAAGTAAACCAAGGTTTGTCCAAAATTATTTGAAAGAATACACACAATAAGTAAATATAAATAAAAGTTATCACTCAACCTCTTAAAATTACAATAAATTCAATGTCACAGTCAGTTAGGTAATAGTAAAAATTCTTGAATCTTTTTATTAAAATCTTCGGCGTAACGTATGTGAATATTATGTTTTCCGTCGGGGTATAAATGTATTCTGAAAAAAAGGAGCGAAAATTTTGCTAAGTATTCCTCACAATATTTTTTCACATGTAACAAAAAAATTCCATACACATTCTAGAAGTCACGGTAATATGAAATAGTACAATTGACAAAAAAAGAGCATCAAACTAGATTCACACTCAATGTTAAAAATATAAATATCTTCTTTTGTATTTTGGTTTATATTAAATAAGATATGTATTAATTTCCCACATTAATTGTTCAAGTTTCCTACAGATAATTTATTAAAAATATTACTATGAGTTTCAAATGATGTGACATTTGTACATCAAAACTATTGCTATCTCTATTTATTTCGCAGAAAATGAGAGGGGCTGCAATACTGATGTGACACAAGTGTTACTTGGTGATTCACCATTAGAAAAACATAAATTGAAGACACAATAGTAAGCAAAACATACCTGGATCCTTCTATATGTGTATGCAGATGTGAAACATGTACATTATCAACCAGAGGATCCTTTTCCCCATGCAGTATGAATGTTGGGCAGCTAATGTCCTTTACAATCTCATTGCAAATGTTGCCATTTTGAGCTTGAGCTATCTCCACCATACCATCCACCCATCTCGCCCAGTACTGAGCAAACTTTTCTTCCCCGTAAGCTTCTATCATTGGTTCACGCATCTTGGCTGACCATGTTTTGACATCTCTTATTTCTAATGACAAATTATGTTTTTTAATTCAGAGTATTTATTGAAATATTTCATTGGCATTTAATAAAAGCATGATTTCTTGATAGATGAAGATATTTATCTCTTCATTTTTACCAAATTATAGGTTAAGATCTTTTGCTAAATAATGACACTCTTTGAATCAGAAATTATGCAGGATGTTTGCTGACCACAAAGGATATTAGAAAAAAGGATTAAAATTGGATAATGAAATAAATACTAACTTTTTAATGCTTCAACCTCATTCGGCAACATAAATGAATTGCTTCCCCATATCACAAGCTTATTAACTACACTGGGGTATTTGGCAGCTAGGATCATACCACTTATGCCTCCATCACTCCATCCCAGTATCGAGAACTTTGGTATTTTCAGTTTCTGTTAACAACAAATACAAAATGGGTTTACATACATGTCTGCACTTTATTATGAAAGAATAAGCAACTTAAAGTAAATAATCAAACCTTAAGAAGCTCCGCAGCAACATCTGCATCTTTTTCATAAAAATCAGGAGTAAACTCTTTTTCCGGGGGTCTACTTTTCCCATAGCCCACAGGGTCCCATGCTAATATTGTAAACTTATCTCTATTCAGTCCTTCAAGTTGCGGCTTAAAATCAGACCATATAGTTCCCAGTGCACCCGGCATACAGAATACATGGTGTGGACCATTTCCCACTTTGACATAATTTATATTATAATTGCCTACTTTAACTTTTTCTTCCTGAAATTACAAACGAAGTACTTTAAAAATTTACAACTCTGAACACTGACGCCTATAAAAAAAAAGCAAAACAGAAACTTGATAAAAAAAGTGTAAATATATGAAATAGATAAGCTATGATAGCAAAAATAAGTTTATTGTGCTGTTATACAACCTAAGTTAAGGAGATAATGTTCTAATTAGCAATATTTACATACCTTAGTAGTCACAGCAGTGGATAAAGCAGCATTGTAGACTCTTGAAGGTCTTATCTTTGTAAAATAATGTATTCTGTTACTTAAAATTAAAAGCATGTTAATTATTTTGGTTTTACTCAATGCGCTAAAGGGAACTCATAACAAATGATAACGAACCTATATTTTGACATTTGTTATCAGCTGATAATTGAAACTTCTGTCCGGAAATGTAGATTAGTAGTACAAAAACACTTAAATCTCAACTGAAATGATTGTAAAAAATTATTGACTTTACACTTATTTTATCGTTATAACTTTAGTAAAATATTTTGTAGTTTGTGAGAAAAAAGGAAAATTCTCATGCATAATAATTAATGCAGTGAATTAATTAACTATTTTACTTACTATCATTCGCTCTCGCCCCTTATTCAATTTTCATTTCAAATAAAAATTTTAACTTATAAATACTTTCTGGTTTATAGCAAAGGCAAAGAAGATTAAATTTAAAACTGTCAAATCGAATGCTTATAACAATGAATTTTGAATAAAAAAAATGAATAATATCAAAGCATTTTCTCATCCTAATTTCCTCTTAAGTACACAAAGAGACTAGATTGTTGAAAATAGACAAACTGGTCACGTTAGTTGCATTTGTTACAAAAAAAACTACACAACTTGCAATACTGGTTCTGATTGCGGTGTCACGAGGTGACAAAATTACCCGAAAATATTTAGATATTTATAGAATAAAAAAAAACAGTGTTTAGTATTATAGTTTATTTTATTATCAATATCGACGGCACAGCGTCCTAGCGAGTTACAATACAGTCTAGTATTTTATGTTAAAAGCAAAGAAACCTAAGGGTTACAATAATTTATAACTTCTCAAGTGGAATTTTACTCCTTAACAATTCGTCTTTACATTTTAAAAATTAAAACTTTTATTACGAAATAAAATACTGCCTGATTTGTTCTCATAGCCCAAATTACTTTTCATTGATTTCTCATGTTTTACTTATCCTCAGACAGATTAGACGAAAAAAAAATTATCACTGGTGTGAATTATAACGTAAATGGATGGCATTACATATATCCTAATTCTATTATTAAAATGTCTAAATAGTCTAACACCGAGCTTTAAAAGTTGTAACATCAATTCTTTTCCATATTTTCCTCTGGTTAGTAATCTTCTCTATCATTTCCTGGAATCAGTTATGAAATGTGTTACAAAGGGGTGATTGAATGACGGTGGATGTAATGCATGTTAAAAATGTTTGCAAAAATTACTAATATTTTTTTAATCTCTCCATTGTTTCTTTTCAAACTGGCAGCGTAGTTGACTGAGGCCTAGACACCCCTAAACTTAATGTAGGTTTTAGACCCTCAGGGTAAGTATACCATACCTATTGATCAAATATTAACCGTATATTCATAGGTTAAGGGCGCAAATGTAATATTTTATTTTATTTCAGGCTTTGAGAACAGTTTCTTTCGAAGTTATATTTCTTTAAATAATAGTTGTTAGTTTTTTTTTGTTAACATGTTTGTTATATCATTGACAACAATAATAAAGTAAATGCATGGAGCTTCTTACATTATTTATGGAGAAATAGAACTTCAAAGTACTTTTACATTTCAAGAAACTCACAATACAAACATATATTTAACATACAAAACAGCAAGAATAGAAAGAAAATAGTATCCAGTTTACCAGAAAACTTAAATTCACCTTGAGTAATAAGACACAATTTTAATATTATTAAAACCTCAGTACAATTGTCTCTTAAAACCATAGACAAATGTTCTGTCACAGAACCATAAAGTATGCACATAGACTATGGAAGTTTTTTTAACATCAAACTTTTTGTACAAAAATATATGAAATTTGTGACGTGCGTGTGTTTTAACAATACAAAAGAACTAAAATTCACTGTAAGAAAAGCGTTAAGCACTAAATGAAAGAGTTCATTCCGAACAAACACAGGCCAACTTAGACTGGTCACCATTTAATCCAGCTCCCCGGCATTACAAGCGTCTTCGTAACTCTTACCCTTCTGTTCTGGGTCCAATTTGATCAGGTCATCGATACGTAGGATCGTAATGGCCGCTTCGGTTGCGAATTTAAGAGATTTGACCTTAGATATCGCAGGCTCTATTACTCCGGCTGCTAAGTTGTCACGGAGTGTGCCCTCTGTTAAGTCCAGGCCTACATACTTCAAGTTTGCGTGCTCGACCTGTTTAAAAGAATTTTAAAGTAACTATCATACTAATATTATAAATGCGAATGTTTGAATCTATTGATGGATGTTTGTTAGAAGGTATCTTCATAACTGCATGGATCTCAATGAAATTTGGCATGGATGTAAAACATAGTCTAAAAGAACACATAGTTTATATAATGTTTTTTTAATTCCGTGCTAACGGAGTCGCAAGCTACAGCTAGTTGGTTATAAAAAAGACTATGTATTGTTTGACAAATGTCATTGCAGTTGAATTCATTGACAGATTTTCCAGTAATTAGTTTCTATAGATAGAGATATATAATGTTACCTTTGTTTGAGAGGAGTTGTGGTACGCTCTAAGCTTGGCAACGAGGTCTGTGGCATCGCGCGCCGCGTTCACCGCCAACGTCTTGGGGATGACCAGTAGCGACTGCGCGAAAGCTGCGATAGCCAGTTGCTCACGAGAACTCTGCAGTTAATAAATATTTAAATTATAGGTCAGTCTTTACATTGTATTGTCATTGTAAATTCATTTTTGGGAATTTGAATGTCTGAAAATCTTTACATAATTTATATGTCTCAATCTATTAGTTTACATATGGTGTTTGAAAAAAATAATTTTACAATTAACCTGCGTCACATAATAGGCTATATAGTCGTGGGTTTAATGTCAGAGTACCAGTAACCCGCAGCAGTGAAAGGGTTAAAGTGTCTACTCACAAGTGTGGTCGCAAAGTTGTCCAGATATATAGAGAGTGCAGCATCAACTGCACCGCCGCCGGCCAGCACACGGCCCGACTCAAGCACACGACGCACCGCACATAACGCGTCATGAGCTGAGCGCTCCATCTCATCGCAGTACGCGTCTGTGGGGCCGCGGAGGATGATCGAAGCTGCTGTGCGACTTGCTGGACTGAAACAGAATAATTTAACCATTAGTTTAACTTGTAATGGTGGTGGTGGTAGATGTATAAATGTAGAAAGTGAGACAGGTGTGTCAGGACCTCACCAAATAGAAGTCCATAGTCTTTGCCTAATCCTCTTTATGAGTTATGGTTGTGTTATGTTGTTCTTGTGCAACTTACCCCTTGATAAGAATGAGCTGGTCATCACATATTTCCTCCTGAACCACTTCAGCAGCTTCACCAATCATGCTCGGCTCAAATACTTCTTCACCTAAAAAAATGACCTTTGAGATTAAGAAAATGTTACTCTGTCGTTGAAATAGGCAGAAATACAATTCACAGAAATAAAAGAAATTTGATAATAAGTTTAACATAATATGGGAATAAAATTTATTAATATAGTGCACTGGATGCGGGCGGCACAGGATCAGGCATTGTGGTAATTGATGGGGAAGGCCTCCGTCCAGCAGTGGACAAATTTAAGCTGTTTATGTTGAATATAATTTGGAAAATCAAAACTGTTTTTGAAACCACTTAATTCGTCATTATAATTTGGGCGTCAAAAATCCTAGGTCATCTGAACAACTACCTGCCTTAGTAACTAAACTGCCTTAGAAATCCAAACTATCTCACCTTCCATATTAGTTAATGAGGTAAGATAGGCAGCGCCGGTAGCTTTGGCGATTCTCTTCAAATCAGACTTCTTACAACGTCTCACTCCCATAGCTCCAGCCTCCACAAAGTACTTGAGGCAAAGGTCATCAATACCACCAGTACAGAGGATGACGTTAACTCCTGTGCTTAAGATCTTGTTCAAACGCTCTTTTGTGATGTCTAACTCGCGGGCACGGATCGCGTCTAATTTTTCAGGGTCTGTGACCAGTACCTGAGGATTTAATGCTTTGTGATTAGTGTCACATCAAATATCTGTCAAGGTCATTTGCGCGCTGTGCAGTATGCTCTCTCTCATTTCTTTACCCCCTAATAGACAAATCATTATGTTTAGCAACTCCTGATGTTCCGAGCCGCCAAGATATAGACAAAATCTATGTATAGTACACATTTTCATTATTAAATGGGTTTAAATCAACATTTGGATACAAATCAAGAGATTGATTGCACATACTGTTAAGAAATTATAAAGTTAAACATTAAATCCAAAGTTAACTTGCCTAGTTAATTTACTTTCATATGAAAAAAAGGGTAATGGTATAGTATGTGTGTAATTAATAAACAGTAGACTTCCTAAAGATGAAAACATACCTGAACACCAAGCTTCATCTTAGTCTTCTGTAAAGAGAAATCAAGGCAAGCAATCTTAGCGTTAACAATCTTCTTAGGCATAGCCTGTGAGGCAACGGTACAGTTGAGAGCGTAACCTTTCACAAGAACACTCTCCCGCGCGCTCCGACCGTGCGCTTTGAGGACATTCACAGCTTTGATTGGGTAGATTGCATTGCCTTTGGCATCTGTTGTCTTAATCGCCATTGCTGCATCAACAACCATCTCAGAGAAGAAATCTGCATCACTATTTAAAGTGTTAAGGAATATTTTGACTTAGGATACAATTTGTCTGTGTAATTTGTATTATGACAAATTAATATTAGACAAAGTCCAAAGAAATAATTGAAATCTAAAGTAGAAGAAACTACTTTCATTTGTAGGTAGATTATTTACCAGCCAGTATTACTTTAATAAGGAAGTTTTAATATCAAAATAAATAAAAGTAAGAGATTATCATTTTAGTACTTGTTTTACGGAAAAGACTTAGTTCAATTCTATTTGACACATTCCTGGTACACAACTGTGCATATTAATTCAAATAGAACAATTTAAAAAAGGATACGCTCCAATAAGCTTTGAAGACATTGTAGTTTTGGCAACATTGACAATGGAAGCACGACCAAGTGATTCCACACTGACAGTCAGGTTGTCCTGAATGTACTTAACAGCCTCCTTGCAAGCCAGCCTGTAGCCGGAGATCACACTGGTAGGATGGATCTTGTTCTTTACTAATTCATCTGCATTCTGAAATAAAACATCAACAAATGCTTATAAAAACATCTTTGTTGATTTCTTCATTTCCTTAATAAGAATTTACAATTCATTTGATCATATATTTTACATTTAGATAATACTAGCGGACCCGACAGACATTGTCCTGTCTACACGTCTTTAATTTGAAAATTTCAAACTTTTTTTAATAAGCTAAAATTAAAATTCAAATATTATTTAAAATTTGACACTGCGATTGTAGCGCCGTCTGTCGGATCCAATGTAAAACATTCCAAAATCAACAACTACTAATAAATTAAAAATTAATTTAAAAAACATTGTCCAGCGGACAAAATTGTGAATCTAAACCATTCCCAGATCCCCTTGAACACACACAAAAAATTTCATCAAAATCGGTCCAGTCGTTTGAGAGAAGTTCAGTGACATACACACTCACAGAAGAATTATATATATAAAGATAGCAAGCTTAGTTTTGTTACAAAATATATTCACTCAATGCTTTGTCACCTTAGCTTATATAAACATAGCTTACACACATAATAGTAGTAGATGTAGCTTGGAATACATTAAGTAATAATTTATAAAATATTTTTGTCCGGAAGACCTTAACGCTTGTACCAAACCAATGAGGTTTATTTAGCGTTAAATATATGTTTATTTGTATTCAAAATTGTATTGTTAAATAAATTAAAAAAAAAAGTGTATACATTTATTTTAAATTATTTAAGTAAGCTTTAGTTATACATAATAATAATACCTTGAGCAATTCAGCAGCAATTATGACAACAGTGGTGGTGCCATCTCCAACTTCTTCGTCCTGTAGCTGAGCCAATTCCACCAACACTTTCGCCGCTGGATGCTCAACCTCCAGCATTCTAGAAATTTTGTATACTGTTATTAACACTTATGTGCTGATATAATTGTCGCAGTAAACTCACAAGGCTAGATGGCTGTACTTAGTGTTAATATTAGTGCTATTTTTCAACAAATAAAATATGATATTGTCATTATACTTATGACTAGTTATATAAATTACTTTATAATAATATTTTGACAACTTTAAGTGTTGAAAATTGACAGAAAACTAAACCAACATTGTTTAACTTATATGTATAAGCCTTTCTTCATAATTGATATGTGGACCACAATACAATCTATAAATTCACTTACTTTAAAATAGTAGCACCATCATTTGTTACAGTAACATCTCCAATATCATCCACCAACATCTTGTCCAGTCCTACAGGGCCCAGTGAACTCTTTACAATGTTGGCTATAGCAGCAGCTGCCATCACTGAAAGGATGGATTGATATAAGATTGGAAATTTAATGTTTAAATCGAAGGCATGTTTTGTTAATCAAATTGGTTTTAGAAAAAAATGTGAAAGATATTGATAATAATGACTTAACAAATAGATTTTATTTAGATTTAAATTACATTCTAGGGTACTAAAATGTTTACAATGTATTCAAAATAGCATGAAATTTCAACAAAGAGGTTATTCATATCGCGTTTAAAATATAAATAACAAATAGTTAAATATTAAGTTACACATGCATCATTTCTATCATGATGGTAAATTTAAGACTAAAATAATAGTTAAATTCTTTTATTTCCGGAAAATATTTGTACTTTTAAGACCATATGAGGCAGTGCATGTGATCTACCGGGTTCAACCTCATGTGAGTTTTATAGCGATAAAATTTACCATTTTGAGTTCGGACCGGTGCCCCCGAGAATCTAGTCCCGGCAACGGATAAAGGTGCAGCAAGTGTAGACATATTTTGGTTTATTTAACTCAAAAAATCACAAAATTTCGCTCGTCACACTTATTTGATTCTCGAAAAAAGATGGAACAATGTTGCAATATTTAAAAAAATGATGACACATAGATTGTTTATTGCCAGTATGTATTGAAATACAGAATACAGAAAATCGATTTTTATCAAAAGGTGTGTAGAGGTGGAGGATATTTTATTACTTTAACCACCTTAACACATATGGAACTAATGCTTTTTATTTTTAAATATATGTTTGGATTCAAACAGGAAATAATTATATAGTCAGTCAGTAAGAATTGTAAAGATGCATTTGCAATTTCTTGGACTGTCTTAAGTTGCTGGGAATAGGGAAATGGCACAATTGCATACGTACTAATCAAGTAGTTATTTACAAAGTCATTTTGTGTAATATTACGCAATCTTAAGCATTGGTTATTATTATAAGATAATACACCTTTGCGGTGCAAAGACATTAGAATCATTTTACTTTCAAAGACCGTTGATGATTGAAATTAAAATAAAAATAATAAATGATTGCAATTTTCCATTGTTTGTAAAGAATTGCTTTATTACACTACTTTCTTGCCTAGTTCATATAAAGCTCCGGTTTACGACAATTCGACGGGCTAATCCAATAAATGCCAGAAATGTTTCGGGATCCCCACGTTCATTGTAATGCCCCGCAGTGAGTGTCGCATCCATACTCGAGCTTAATCTCATTTCGTTCACTAAGGGTGCGATAAGACTCCGTGCAAAACAAATTGCAAGTACCCGCGCAGGCGTCAGGAACTGTCACGCACGCGTATTTTTGCGTCAGTCGCGCGCCGACCGCTACCGCAATTGTAGGGCTGTACCGCTCTGGCAAATCGCGCTTCCACCTCGCGATAAATGGCGCCCAAATTGGGACTACGCTGACGCGGGGTAAGTTCAGTTCTCAATAAAGATATCTTAAATTATTAAAGCAAACATTAAAGTTTAAGATGTGTGAGTGGTCCATGCAGCATCCGTTCGTGTGGGCGTGGTAAGACGTCGTAGAGGGCGCGAGTGTCGGGTCTGATAACACGAATCAACAAAGTCTAACATTATATAAACTGGTTAAGGGAATGAGTGGAAGGTGAAATCAATTTTTTATTGATTTGCTTTATATTAAGTTTCCGATCTTCTCACGACACGAGAAGTGATAAAAACTGCAATAGAGGTGTGCAATATGGTTGGATATTTAACCAATAAGGGATGTATATTATTAGAATCAACCCAATATTTACTATTAAGGATAAAACAAATCATTAAATTAAGAATATTGTAAGTTTGAAAATTTTTTATTGTTAAAATCTAAGTTTTTAGTATACTTTAAATATATAACAATAATTGAACGATTTATTTTTAGGTAAATCTCAATTATTTATTTTTACTATGTTGGGCTAATTAATTCTAGCTTCTATATAAAATCTGTACAACATAAATATCTATCAGCTGTGCGGAATGTAGTAAAAGAGTATCAGCGCAAATGCAGAGGCGCTGTTCTTACTGCAGCTGTCTCTTTTCCTCCTTCCCTTAGGATTTATGTACTTACAACTTTACGAGGTGCAAAATACTTTTTGTTAACCATTGGTTAAGAACCATTATAATTCCACTGTGAGTTTAGTTATACCTGAACCTAACGTGTTGTTCCATAGCAGAAATGCAAGTACAAAAACGTATAGTATCTTTATATTTTCTTTGTAAAAAGTAAACATAACAATATGTTTCTTCACAGGTGTGTCAGCAAAGGAAATTAAATGTAAAAGTGTAAACAAAACAACACATTTTTCATATAATAATTTTCTAAATACTTTTCCACACACCAGTTTCTTATCTGTTAGACATTGGCTAACAAAATCGATGCATTTTTTTTATTTTGACAATATTATATGGCCTCTTCCTTGCTAGCCATCACCTACTATAAAAAAAACAATGGATGAATCCTTTCTTGAATTAATTCTAATTATAACGTTCTAAAAAATCTAATATAATTTGTATATATGTAGGTACTAACGGCCACGACTCTGTTCTTGCGGAATTAAAAAAACATATTTAGTAGCCTGTGTGTTCTTCCACACTATGTTCCATATGTGTGTGTTTTTTTTAAACATCCATCCATCCATCCAAACTTTCGCCTTTATAAATACGCGTGTATTAAAATTTATAGACAACTAGCCGTCGCATACGACGCCGTCTGCGCGGAATTAAACGAAAACTTAATTCGTAGCCCATGTTTTCTTCAAGGCTATGTTCTACATCTATGACAAATTTCAGCGAGATCTATTCAACCGTTCTGGCGATAATTTGTAACAAACATCCATCTATATATCTAAACATTCGCATTTATAACGTAAAATAAGCTAGATAATCCAACACTGATAGACGATAACATCTTCCTATTGATTTAAATTGAAGATTAAGACAAGAATTTAGTATAAGCTCAATTGCCTTTTAATTTTGTTCTTGACTAAGGCTATATTATCGGTTTTTACACTGAAAAGTCCATTTATACATTTTCTACGTTATCCAAACAATCTGCCCCACATTTTGTTTCTTTTTATCATAAATAAATTTACTTTTTCATATCTTTATAAAAATCTCTGCCCCTTGTGAATGTTATATTTATTAACAAGCTACTTTCTTCCGTTCGAATGCATTAGCATTTAAATGGAACTGGCCAACTGGATGTCAGTTTTTCGTGACCCGAAGTGTACCGGCGCACGTTAAAAGCCCTCCACTTCCTTATTTATACGGCCAATTCGAAACCGAAAAAGTAGGTTAGTATTAAATATTGCGTATTAACTTATGTAACTTTACGTGTTTCAGTAAAACTGCAGTTAAATTTGTAATAAAAACGTTTATTTTACCAAAATCATACTATCATCATCAGCTCACTATACATCCCCACTGAGGGGCTCGAAGCCTACCCTAAGTTAAGGGTGATTAGGCCATAGTCAACCACGCTGGTCAAGTGCAGGTTGGTTGACTTCACACATATCTTCGAATTTCTTCTCAGACATGTGCAGGTTACATCACGATGTTTTCCTTCACCGAAATATGATAGAAAATATAATAATTGACAATTTGTCGTTAACGAATTAATTAAAGTCATTATTAATTTAGTCACTTCTAAGTTAGGGTAGAAAAATATCCACGGCTACGTTCAGGATCACTAAAAACAGCTTGGCTGACATTTGGCAGAGGATTTTGCCAATAAAAAAACGCCACAATCCAACGTGACTTGTGCCAAACTGATTGGAAACAAACTTTGAAACGATACGATAACGATTTTAATGACGAAGTGGATTTTCACAGCCGAAACGCTATTTCGAAAAAAATCCCATTTTCTTTTCTTTTTTTGGTGATGTTAAAACTCCTTTACGGTTATATCTTTACAACCAGTAACTTTTCGAGGTCCGTATTGAATCTTTGTAGGTATTTTATTTAAAGACTTCGCATCGAAAAGGTCATTACAAAGTTAAAATCTTGAACACTTTTTTGCTATATTATGGTCAGATTATTAGTCAGAAGAGCCGTTTTGATTTTAAAATAAGCAAGAAAAAATGTCAATCTTGTTGTCCAACAAAATTGTGTTAAAATTAAAACAGCTCACAGTAATTATGTTAAATTTTAAGGTTGCAATAAAACAAAGCATTTGTGAAGGAATTGAAGAAAAATGTGCACTTGTGCACGCTGTGAAAGCCTTTTGCCGGGACGCGGAGAGCTCTTGTATTCCTGCCCCACTGCAACTGTCGGGTTACAGTTTATTTTATAAGTACGCTAGACTATGAGTGTTTTTATTTTGTTTTAATTATCATTTAAAGTAATTACGAAAAGGTAAACTAAGGAGGTTTGTTAACTCTGAATCAGAAACTCTTAATTTCCGCGAATATCTTACTTCTTACTAATGTTATATCTAGTTTATTTTTTGATTTATCAAATATCTCCTAAACCCTTTTCTCTTTCTTTTTGAAAATAATTTCTCTAGCAGCTAATATATGTCTAGTCTCCAAAAGAAACATTTGAAGTTGATGCAGCTTGATACGGTATGCCATATAATAATGGGTTTTGTTCTTTGTGTATTTTGGATGGATCTTTGTTAGAAAGTATCCTCAGAACTACTCAATGGATTTCTCAGAAATTTGATATAGGTACACATATGCTAGTAATTAAGTTTTTTAATTCAATGGAGTCGGAGTCGGGGGTAAAAGCGAGTGTATCATAAGTCATTACTTAAGTAGTACTGTTAGTTACATCATGACAGAGAATTGGGTAGGAAAAAAAACATCCGTTTAATTCAGTAAATTCGAATAAATTTTACTTAGTTTCTTTGCCTTCCCTTGTATTTGCGACATGTTTCACGGAATATATCCTTAGCACGTACTTCGTGTTTTTTTTAAATTTGAGTTGTTTTCACATCGCTTTGGTACACGTTTCTGCGGAGATTAAGTTGAAAGAATGTTTCATGTATGTCGGAGAATTTTGATAACAAGATTTAGTACAAGAAATATATTATATAATTCTTGCAAAATAAAGGGTTTTCTTTTCATTTTATTCTTATTTCGTGACAAGTATTCTAAACCACAGACTAAAAAGCGACGAGGGAAATCAACTTTCTTATGACGGAAACATTAAATTTTATTTTTGTTCTTAAAAAAAATCGATTTGCATTTATTTAATGATTACCGTGTCACTTCGACTTTAAATCCTTTGCTTAAGCCTTTTTCCTTTTTTCTTTCTCATTTATATTGAAAAAGACGTGTAATGCAATGAATATGAAAATTGACAGAACATTATCAATACAATTGTGTCCACAGTGGAAACTGACTCTAAATAAAAAGATATTAATCCTATATTATACAGATGATTGGTATAAAAACGCGGCTGTGGAACGTTAATTAAATTCCGGAACAGTGGGAGATTAACTTTAATTAAACATTTCTCTATAAAATCAACTTGTACAGGAATTTTAATTCTTACTTATATAAAAATGCGAATGTTTTGATGGATGGATGTATGTTTGAAGGTATCTCCAGAACGGCTGAACAGATCTTGATGAAATTTTGCATACAT